TCGAAACTTTCGCAGTTTTGCCTTTAAGAAAAAAATTTGGCAAAACGTTTCGATGGGTTTCGATTTCGATGCCTGTCGAAACCTCCGGGTTTTGCCCGGCAACCTCAAACAAAGTGAATACTTTTTGAAGCCTTTTTTTTCAAACAAACGTATGCAATTCGCATTATTTGTCAAGAATTAAGAAATAATTATAAGTAACCGACCAGACTTTGAAATAAAATAAATATTTAAATTCGATAAACATTATTTGTTTGCTAATTAATTTTTTTTGAAGTATCAATTCATATGATAACGATAAGCAAAAAATCTAGATGCAACACGATGAAACTGTTAAATCAATCATTCGTGTGATCTGTAGAACGTTAAGACTCGAATTTAATAATCAGGAATTATATAATTGAATCACTTTCACGATTTAATAGTAACTATACTTCAACGAACGAATCAATGGAACTCTGCTCATGAGAAAATTTCCCACATAGCGCTTCTAGAAGGGCTCGAAATATTTTATTAATTATATCAAGCAAAAACAATGGCATCTCATTCCAGTTGAATATAACAATTCACCTGACTTTCGACACTTCTCGCTACACGGGCATTGATATCAGTTTCTGGAATTAAAAATAGAAATAAGCAAAATTTTGAAACTAATTACGATCCAATGACCAAAAAGAACGAATACACTTGGTCACGTGATGTTACCAACCATTCAAATATTATTATTTGGGGACTTTACAGTCTCTTTTATGAATGGTAATTAAACTTGATCCGATTATAATTAGAAATTATTATTAAATGATAAGTTATTAGGGATTCAAATATAACAAAGCAACACAAACGGAAGCTATACATAAGATTCATGTTGTCGTTTCTATTTAATAATTTTTTCAAGATTTGTTGACAATCAAATATTCCAAGAAATCTGGTAATACTTGACCCAAACCTCTAAAATTCATTGAATAAATAATTTTTTACGATTCCGAGACGTAATAGGAAGAAACCTTTCATTTTTAATAGAAAGATATCTAAGATGTTTGCTAAAATGAGTAATCAACTCATATAGAGTGACATACTTTGTTCAAAATTAGAAATTTCTAGAAATATAATTTTATCATAAAAACTCATAATGCTTTCAAAAGAAGCATATCTTTCGTTAAAATTTACCAGATATATTTCAAAATGTTCTAAATGAGAACCAATTTTTTGAAGTAATAAAACAAGTTCTAGGAACAAACCAATTACTTTTAAAGATTTGATTTTTAACGGGGTTGAAATGGTTGAAGAAATTGAGCTTTAATACCAGAACATTTATCGAATGAAGTGATTTAAGTTGTGTGAGATATCCGAGTCAACTGAAGCTTTGTAAAATCACATTTCTCAAACTTAATTAACGTTAAAGTATTAAAGCGGTACTTAAACGTTAATTAATTCGCAAAAACAACTATCTCTTTCATTTTGCAAATGCAAAGAATAAATTTGTTAGATACTTTTAAGTTTCTTGCTAATAATTAGCTCACCTCATTACAAGTACTAAGATATTTAATTGAAGGGAATAATAAAATAAAGATGTTAAAATGGATATAAGATGACATAATGGTGACATTAGTAAACTTGCGTTAAAATCTTTAACATTTGATATTAAATTAATTAAATACAATCTGAAGGACTATATATGTACAGGTTTAAAGTTACACAAGATATTCTGTTGTCTACCCGCTCAATAATTGAATCAATGCTTATTTGGCTCTTACAAAAGTCTGGATAAAGTTTCAGACTTAACAATAGTCCCTGTTTCACTAGTTTAAATAAATTATGTTTTTATTAACATTTATTTAATAATTAAAAAAATATAAAATTATTTTATTTACATGTTTTTAAATATATGTTTATTTTAATAGTTTTGAGTTTATTAAATAAAATTTGTACATTTTCATTTTTTTATTTGATTTGAGATTTTAAATTCTTCTATTTGTTACATAAGTTCTTTATATATTGTTTTAGACAAGAAAACTTTTTTTTGTTTAGATCCTTCTGAATAATATGATAAATTAGTATTTTTTTTTTTTTATTTTTAACAAAAAAATTAATATAATAAAAGTTGACAATATTGGTCATTAAGATTTAAGATTAAATGTAAGTTGTTAGACAGCAGGACTTTTTATAGCTTTATATAATAACTTCTCATTTTTTCTTCGAATTTTGCTGAGTACAAGACCATTATTTTGACGCATTTTTCATTTTACCATTACTATTAGACAAGTTCCAACTAAAAATAGGATCAGAAAAAACTATTTTAGGATCTGTAGTAAAGACAATGCTATAACTTCTTACAAATTGTAAGGTGTACAATATGTGTTTTCGCGCGACTTTTCTAAGCTTCTTTTTTTTCTTTTTTTTAAATATAATTGCCGATCACTTTTATTGATTATGAAATACCAATATTTAGATCGTCAAATACGAAAAAGGAAACCCTTTAAAATATTTATATAATCAATTTTCAATATTTTCTTTCCATTTCAGATTTTTATTTATTTTAATTTTTATCTGTCGTTTCTGCTACATCAGTCATTAAAAATAAAGGTAGACGTTTTTCTTTTAAATTAAGGTTTGTTAAAGATATAAATTTTTTGCTTTTTTTTATGTGCCATGCATGTACTGTTCAATACATCCGAGTGATACGAAAATGTGTGGTAATGATTTGAGTATTTCACGTGCGTTGATGTTGTTTCAATTCAAAATGACAATCCATTTTGAGGATACTGCGGTAAAAACTTCTATTTGATTTCTCTTAACAGCTGTTACACAATAAATGCTTGCTGTTAACATTTTCATTTCTCTCAGTCTCTTTTTTTTCACGTTAATAACATTTTTTTTTTTTAAATTTTATAATGTCTATCAACTTAGAAAATGCATCTTCTTTAGCAGCATCATTTACAATAGATAATGCAGTACCATTTATAAAGTTTGTACCACTTATTTCAGAAATATCCAAAATATTCATTGAAATTACAGAAATATATCAAACAGCTGAGCATAATAAAAAACTATGTGGTAAATTGTTGGATATAGTCCAAGTAGCTGCTTCGGCCGTTAGAAGGTTAAAAGATCGTAGGGATGAAAACGTAAATTTTTTTTCACGAGGAAATTTAATAAATTTACAGAAATTGGTTAATGTTATTGTTAAAATTCGTAAACTTGTTGGAGAAATTTCCCAGTTAAGAACGTTAGCCAGGTTTATGCATGCCAAATCTATTAAAAAGTATTCTAGCGAATTAATTGATGAATTTAATGCAATTATAAGCGTTTTACAATTTTCTTTGATGATTGACTTCAACATACGTGCTGACAAAGACAAAGATTATAATTTAAATCAGGTAACGTGTGATTTACAATTCAATATACATAATTTGATATCATGTATAATCTTACAAATCTTTTGATGTCATTATATAGTACCTTTCAAATTTTGACAGTGGTTTAACTGACATTCATAATGGTATCTCGGATGTTGTCAGGCATATTAATACGCTTAGTATGGCACAAGTTAAAACTACAGATCAATCAGATATATTCCAAAGTGAATTAATTGAATATAATGATTTTGAAGAAGAAGGAGAACTCTTAGAAAATCAAAATGTAAGAAAATATAAGAAAAGAAAAAATGGAGTGTTTGATTTTGTTGCATTAAAGTTAGTGGCCGATGAAGATAGCAGTGAAGATGATAAAATTAATATTAGAAATCAAGTAACGATTTTGAAAAAATTGAAAGGGTCTCATTATATCATTGAATTTTATGGTTTAACTTCGTATGATGGTAAATTTTATTTGGTTACCGAATGGGCTGATCATGGCAATTTACGTGAATATTATCAAAAGTATGGTCCACTTGAAGTTGGTCTGAAATTAAGATTTGCTTATAACATCGCCAGGAGCCTATCTTTCTTGTTTAATAATTCGGTAACATTTATTATTATTTTATTTGTTTCAATTTTTCTATCGACCCAAAGAAAAAGTTCTTAATTTCTAAAAAGAATCCGCTTGTTATTTTTGGGGAAATAACTCATTTCGACAGATCATCCATCATGACATCAGAGCCGAGAATGTCTTAATTACCGATAATGATACAGCAAAAATTGCAAATTTTAAATCAAGCCGAGCAATAAATGATGAATCAAGGAATCTAAAAGAAACGCTAGAAGCTGCACGATATTGCGCTCATGAAAATTTATTGTCAAATATAAAATATAATACCAAGTGTGAAGTTTATAGCTTTGGAATACTTCTTTGGGAAATTTCCGAAGAAAAGATTCCTTATGAGAATTTTGGCGATGATATTATGAAAATTACCGATCAAGTTTGTAACAAAGGATATCGTGAAGAATTTCCTTTTGATTCTCCAATGCCAAAAGAATATCGTGAACTTTCCGAAAAAGGTATTAATTTATTATGCATTAAATAACTTATCGGTTTTTTAAATACTAACCTCTGTAATCTCTTTATTATGATCTATCCTAGCTACTCACCCTAATCAAGGTGTTAGACCTGTATTTGCGAATATTTGTAACATGTTACAAAATCTATATCAATCTAATAGACCGCTTAGCAGGACATCATCATCCTCAGCTAAATCAACCTCAGCTAACGTGATATATCAATTGGCACAGAATAGATCAATGACAAATATATCTCAAAATAATGAATTAAAGGACTGGATTAAAAAAAAATTTATTACATATATAAAATGGAATGATCTGGTTGGTAAATCGCCAGTTGGTTCAGGTCATTTTGGAGTTGTATATAAAACACATTGGAATAGCATGAACAAAGACGTTGTTCGTAAGTCTCCATTCCTAGAAAATAATGATGCTATTCAAAATGAAATACAAATATTAGCTAGTGTACAAGCTTCTGATAATATTATTCGTTTTTTAGGAATTACACAAGGTATGTAAATAGTAAATATGATTATATGGTTTAAAATAATCAACTTGATTCTTTTGAATTTATAGAACCAGAAAGTAACATTTATAGTATGGTTATGGAATATGCTGAAGAGGGTGACTTGCGAACCTATCTAAAAATCAATTTTCAAACTCTTGAATGGGATAAAAAGTTACAGCTAGCCTTTAATATTGCAAATGGATTAAATTGCCTACATTGGTATCACATATTGCATAGGGATCTTGTAAGATACTCTTATAATATCTTAATTTCTTATCTTGAAAAAATAAATAAGACTAAACCAATTAATAAATTTATCTTTTAGCATTCAAAAAACGTAGTTATACATAAAGGAATTGCAAAGATAACTGATTTTGGAAACTCTAAAAGTATGGATTCCCAAACAAGTATGCATAATAATGTTTTTGGAATACTTCCATATTTGGCGCCAGAGTTATTGGAACGTAATCTTCAACGTTTACCATATTCGGTTAAGACTGATATCTATAGTCTTGGAGTTTTATTTTGGGAGATATCAAGTGGTAATCCACCATTTATGAATCTTACATATGGTCCGACTTTAGCTATAGATATTATGAAAGGAAAGAGAGAACAAGTAATTCCGAATACACCATATGATTATCATGAACTTTATACTTTCTGTTGGGATCAGAATCGAGATGAAAGACCTATAATTCAACATGTATATTCAGTGTTAGAAAATATGTTAGAAAAGTTATATAAGAGTGTTGAAAAAGATAGCGAAGACATTAAAGGCAGGTATTAATTATTTTTTATTTCATGGATTTTCTTAATTATAATAACCATTATTCATATATAATTTCAGTTATCAATACTATACATCTCACTAAAGAAGCTTCCGAAAATCAAAAATGTAGTGATACCACTTTGGTTAACTTAGAAGTTCTTTAATGAGATCAAAATAATCATTTATTTATAAGGTTTACTTTAAATTACTCGAAGTTTACAAAAGTTTACAAGCACTCAGTATTATGCAGAATGAATATGAGGTCACGCAATTTATAGGTATAGGACAAATATATGGGTGAGTGCTGGGAAAGGGATCAAATCGACATCCAAAAAAATTTATATTTTATCATAAATGGATGTAGATTTAGCCAAGGAACATTTTTTATTTAATAAAGAAAGATCATTAGCATGATTACCCAATATCTGGTTTAACTATATTTGAGAAGTTGCATTATTTTTTTATAAAAGAAATAACTTGAAAAGTTCGCTGTTCAAAAATGACTTTCAGATTTCGATACTAAATTCGGAACTGGTTTTTGTTTTATATTATGATCGGAATTTATCATGAGAAACGCAAATCCTCATTTATTTCAAAATATGGGAGGTAAGCTATGTTCGTAACTCGATTTTAATAGCAAACCTCCCATATATGAAATGTCGATTTGTTCCCTTTTCCCAGCACTCACCCCATATTCTCAAAGTGGGTTTGATTGATTCGGTTTTTATGTCTCTCCAGTCCAATGCAAGATTGATTTGTGGATCGATCTATACAATTTTAACATGATAATTCGAGAAACCTAAATTTTCGTATCCGAGCAATTTCTTATTGCCGTAATTATGTAGCCTTGGATTCGATTCTTTTCAATGATTTTTGTTACATATTAATCCGATCTGACACAACACAAAAACATTAGATATTCTCGTTGTTAAGCATGGTATGCCATAAAAGCAAGTTAATATAAAATAATAATGCTCTCTTATACAAAAACTATATTGTATAAAAGTTATCATCCGCAATAAAATACCATGTTAATTAGAAGTAAAGACTTGCAGGAACTAACCTTAGAATTAATCTTTTCTTCACTGATTCTTCACAGTATCAACTTATATTATAGTATATGGAATTTGATATCAACGATCAAAATCTATTACTGTCCTGTAGAAATTTATTTGCCAAAAATTTATGCTTAATGAAAGTGGCAAGGTTAAATTTACCATAAAATATGGGACTTTTGCTATTAAGTCGAGTTATAAAACAAATGATCCGTAATTTTGATAGCAAACTCATATTTTGTTTAATGTTATATTTATCTGTATGTCTTTTGCCATTATCCATTGTACTGTTTGAGTTTCTCCAGATGTAAATAATTGTTTATTAATAATAAATTTAAATATATCAACGCTTCTTATGGACTGTAATGAGAATTGAGAATTTCTATTTCTGAATTCCAAAACCAAGTACATTCAATTAATAAAATTCTATCAATAGTAAATTAAATCTTTTTTTTAACACTATGTAATATAAAAATAAAAATTATAAACTTATAGAGGGAAACTAACGCAGCATCATTGATCACCAACTGATGGTATTGCGAAATGCATTACCTACAACAATGGTGGTATATGGATCAGGTAATACTGATGGTGTTAGCATTAAATGGACAACCGTTTCAGACAAATAATCCCAGTTTAGACATCGTCTATGATTTGTTAAGCCATAAAAAGCAATAAAGTTTGGTTGTACCCGTGATATATGCATTTAGAGTTATGAAAACAGTAATAAGTGCTACGGTGATCAGGATTGATCGTGTACTGGACTCTTCAGGGAAGGGACGGAAAGCATAACCAATAACATGTATACAAGAATAAAATTTCGATTATCTCTTGCAAGAGGTATATAATTAGTAGTTTTCTTTTTGAATTATTTAATAGTTCTTGAATTAAGAGTAAATTGAAATCCAAGCACTTTTATAAGGTCATATGAGACCTTTTCAATAAATAGAAAGGGAGAAACTGCCGGAAATTAATTTTACTTTTAAATGCCAAATAATATTTTAGGTCAAAATAAACATTAACTCGTTTTTATTTTTTCCAGCCGTTTCCCCCTTTCTATTGCAAAGGTCCAATATTTCCAAATCATAAAATTTTAAAACAATTCATTTTAAAATTTAATATGAAGCATTTGTTTACATATTAATAAGTTCAAAAAATTTGTTTGAATCCCATACAGAATACCACCCAAACGGCATCTTGATTAGAAATAATATTGTAAAAAATGACCCAGGTTGCGGATACACAGTACAGTTTACCAAAACAAATATTATTTAAATTACAAAAAATGACTTTTTTATTTTTTTTTTTTTTAATTATATTCCATACTTTTTAAAACTTTAGGAAAGTTTTCTTTTTGAATAAGATAATTATCTTCAGAGGGTTCTTCAGAAGGTGGATTTTATCTGGGCAGATAGAAAACCGGTACGGTACGATAGAAAACTGGTACGGTACGATTCGCCAGACGGTACGATTTTGCAGATCAATATTTTTTCGCGAAATTTGAATCGTACCGTACCGTACTGGTAGTATAAAGTTCTATTATAGAACCAGTACGGTACGGTACGAATTTTAGAAAATTCGTTCTGGTTCATACTGCATCATTATTAGAATTTTTAAAATTTATATTTCTGACAAAGTAATTTAGTATGTTTGTTTGATAAAATTAAATTTATAATTTTTTAATATGATGCATTTGTCCTTCAATAAATATAATCATATTGAAATAAAAAAGAATATAATCAATAATCGGTTAAAAATTTTAATTTTAAAACTTACAAACTTTATAATAAATTCACCGTGTTATCAACGTCTATTACGAAAGATCATACCGTACCGTACCGTAGTGGTTTTATAATAAAGCTTTATATATACTACCAGTACTGGTCTGGAGAATAGTACCGTACCGGTTTTCCATATACTCTTATTATCTTCTCTTTACTAACTTTTTTTCATTTTATTAGTAGACCTTCACTCGGATAGGTAAGTTTTTTTTAATTATTTTTTAGAAATGGAAAAAGTAATTTAAATTCATTACAGTTATGATTGCTTTATAAAATATTTGGCGAAGGTAAACTTTTAATGTTAATGAACTTTTGATGTCATTTCTGATTTATTCACTTTTTTGCTCCAATGACCAAGAAGTACGAATCCACTTGGTCACATGATGCAATCGACCAATCCAAAAATTTTTTTTGAGGACTTTTCAGTCTTTCTAATGAATGGTAATTAAACTTGATTCGATTATTAGAAATTATTGTAATTAATTTATTAAATAATAAGTTATTAGATTCGAATAACAAAGCAACACAAATGGAAGCGTAGTTGGATCCTGCAAAAAAACCAGATATACATGGATTTTATTTTTAAATCTATAATTTGGGAAATTATATTTGGTGAGATTTCAAATGGTCCGACAAATAATCTGCGGCAAAAGAACATGTACGAAGGACCGTATAAAATTTTTAAAATTTTCTAAGGACGCATGGCAGACAGATCGTTAAAATTTTTTTTTATCAAAAAATATTGCAATATAGCGAAAATAACTTAAAAAAAAAATTAAATGAAAACTAGAGAAGCGAATAGCTAAGGTACAGTACGCGAATCCTAAATCTTATATTTTTAAAAATAATTAAACCAATTTAGAAAATTTACTTATAAAGTGAGTAAAGCATTTTTATTTTTATTTACAAAAGAATTAAACAAAAAAGAAAGATGCGGTCTGACCATTGTCCAATAGAATAGAATGATGAAATGTAAGAAATGTTGAAATATGGCTTTGAAAAAGACAAGACCTAATAAGTAAATGAATAAAAGAAACAGTTACTAAGTTAAAGTAATTCACCTGGTATTTTCTTATTTTTTTTAAAAAAAAGTAAAATAAAGATATTACGTGAAATATTTTCTTCTAAAGACGCATATATTTTACTACGGTGCATCTAGTTAGAAATACTGTATCAGAAGAGATTATTTTAATATTTTTTGTTTAAAAAAAAATTTGCAATCTTCAAAAGCTGACGAATTTATTATCACTTTTTTTTTTCAAAAATAAATTAAACTAGAAACGATTTATCAAAGGTACAGATGAGCATTGCGGTTTTGGAAAATGTGATTTAATGAAAACAAAATTATATTAAATTATAATTAAAAAAAAAATAGAGAACATCTAGAACAAAATCACTAAATATGAGATTGTTAATTGGAAAAGACGATGTAGCAGATTTATGAAAAATTCGATTCTTTCATTGTTGTTTATAACCCTGCTTTGCAACAAATCAAGCTAAAAATCAAGCGTAAATATTCCAAAGTTACCATTAGATGCACTTGTCGTGGGCGCCGTAATGTTTAAAATAAGTTTATTTTAAACAGCAATTTACTAATATTATCTTTATTTAAGACAAGCTTCTTGGTTAAAAAAAATTAAGCTTTTGAGAAAAATTAAGACAGAAATTAACATTTTTTATTAAACTCGTTAAATTGAAAACTTCTAAAATTTTATCTATCAAAATAAGTTTAAAGGATTCCGTTCGCTCTTAAAAAGAAAGAAATTTCGAAAGAATTCACTTTATGTTATTTTTAGATTGGACAAGTCTAATTATAACAAAAGATAGAAAAAATAATTTTTTTTTTAATTTTGGTATATTTTTATTTTTCGCGCTATATAGCCGCACTTATGCCCTTTTTATTATTTCTTATGTTACCCGTGGCTCCCATTTTCGTACAATCAATATTTGTATGGACCTTTTTCTTTTCCATCAACAATTATAAAATTATAATAAATATTTTTTTTTATAGTAGGACTAAATAAATCATTGATTTTGTATTTAAAATATTTTTAATTTTTTTATGTAGCAATGCTTTTCTTTTTAATTTGATTAAATTGTAAGAATGAAATGTTTGAATACGTATTTCTCGGGAAGAGGCTACTAGAATTCCCAACTTAAAGCAAATTGAAAACGAAAATGA